ATCTTTTCTTTTATAAAAACGATGACATTTGGGGGCAGTCGACTTCAGGCAGTTTCCCAGGGGAGCGTGCAGATGTGCTGAGCCATTTGGCTGCCCCATGGACCGACTCAGAGTGTCTCTTCTCCCTAATGAAGTCATCTCCTCCCCACAGCTCAGCCTTTCCCATCACTCCATGTTGGAACTTGGCTTTGCCCTGCATAGTTCCGTCGTGATGCAGTTAAGTTCTGGAGAAATCTGCCTGACCAGAAATGCAGGACACTTATAAAAAAGAGAGAAAAAAATGTTTTATTGAAAGACACATTTTACTGTAACATTTTGCGCTAGGGAGCAAAAGCTCCAAGTTTGATTTCTGAGCAAAATGAAATGTCATTGTGATTTTCTAAGGATATTTGCCTGTGGCTAATTTCTCTGAGTAATTTATATCCTTCAAACTAATGTTCAATAAGGTTCTCACCAGCACGTTTATTTTACCTTTCTTTTTTCCAGGCAATTAAGACTTCATGTTACACGTGAATTTCCTAGAAAATGAACAAGGATTTAAAGTGTTGAATAGAATGTCTGTCCCTTTTATATAGGATGAAAAAAGATTTTTTAAAATGAAGTAATCATAAAGGGTTGACTTCCTCTTCCTAGGGTCTATGGAGTTCATCATGATGCATTTTTGGTAAAAGCTACACCCAGTTGTGGAGCACTGGGACCTGCGATAATTTCCTGTCAGAGCTCAGCAATGTGGTCAGTTGTGGGGGCCTGACTGTGGTCAGGGCCACTTACAGTGATGGTTGGAAACCACCTGCTCCACACCTGGCTGAGAGGGGTGATCCTATGAGGTGCCAGGCACAGACTTGTCATATGCTTACCCCCTCAAGCTATTTTCCTGGTCCCTGGAGAGGCACTCTTAATCTTTCTTATTCTTTTACCATCCAGAAAGGATATCTGCCCCAGTCTGCCCAAGATCAGGGACTTGAAATGTGAACTCTGAATGTAAACTTGAATGTGAAGGGACCGCCACCTTGTCATTATTAGATAATACCATGTCTGAGAGCACAGAACTCACACACTTGATCAATAAAAAAGGAGAGGACGGAAATGTGATCCAAAAGGACCTGATAAAGGAGTTTAGATAAAGATAATAAAACTCCCTGGAGACACACCTGGCATCCATGCCGTTCTTGTTCAACTCATTGTCTGACTGCCTCCAAGTTCCCAGTGACAAGATCAGGGGAATAAAGGAAGGTACATCCTTTCTGACTTCTAGTTTCAAGTAGACAGTAATTCTGGGCATAAAGATCTGTCTTTATCTGTACTTGGGACCTTCCTGCTTGTATGAGAGATGTCCCTAGTACAAGAATATAATTTAAAGGAGGATGCAAAAAATAAGATGATAATTATTGTTAAATCTATACGTGAGTGTTATAAGCAAATATAGCTATATAATGTATATCTTGCAAAAATTATTTTTACGTTTAAGAAATTCTCATAGTTTTGTCAAATATGAGAGAACCAGAAGCAACTCTTTTCTAATTCTCTTTTACTTAAGACAAGAATAAAGGAATAGAGGAAAGAAGTGAGAAAAGAAAAAAAGGAAGAAAGGAAGGCAAGGAAGGAGGGAGGGAGGGGAAGGAAAAAAGTTCGGTCCACAAGGGCAATTGCAGAAGAATGATATGGATGTAGATTCCATCTTGAATTACCTGAATGTGCTCTTCTTATTTCTTCCATTATAGATAGAGAGAAAACTTGGCCTTAGAGAAACTAGATATTCAAGAGTGTCATATGACTTAAGTGACTTGATAGCTCAAAGAGTTTTATAATTTTGTAAATAATAATCATACAAGCAAAACTAAACAAAAGACATGAAAAACAGGTTGTTGTTGTTGTTGTTTTGGTTATTGTTTGTTTTGGGGCCACACTCAGAGAGGCTTAGAGGTTACTTCTGGTTCTGTGATCAGGAATTACTCCTGACAGGACTTGGGGGAACCATATGGGATGCCAGGGTTCGAACCAGACCCCCAAAATACAGGTTGCTCTTTTTCTTTTTTTAACACTTTTAACATCTTCTGTTCTGTTAAGCCTATTGAGGAAGTACCTTTGCTCTGTAGAACCTTTTCTGTCAAGAGCTGTAATGACTATGAGCATTACAACAAATTATTTAATGTTGGAAAACTAGAAAAACCCATTTCAAAAGAGAGGAGATGAACTAATGATATAAAATTTATTGTTCCTTCAAGAACAAATAGCATTATTTCTAATGAATATTAACTATTTAACATTTTTGGGGTTTTTAAAATTGAATTACCATGAAATACACAATTACAAAGTTGTTCACGATTGGGTTTCAGTCATATGATATTCCAATGCCCATCCCTTTGCCATTGTACATTTTCTGACACCAATGATCCCAGTTCCTCTCCTGCCTCACTCCCCAGCCTGCCTCTATAGCAGACACTCCTCTCTCTCTCTCTTTCTCTCTCTCTCTCTCTCTCTCCTCTCTCTTTCTCTCTAGTACTATGGTTTGCAATACTGTTACTGAAAGGTTATCATTAGCATTTCTTCTTAAATGTCTTAGCTGCTTGTTTTTGCTCTAGGTCTTCTTTGGCGACACATTTTATTCAAACTGTATTGTTAAGGAAAACAGGATAATTGAGAAACAACTTTTTCAGTTGGCCTTATTTAACAAATGGGCAAATCACATAAAATCTTTGAAGTTCAACAAGGGTTACTTACATTTAAGAATGAAAATAATATAATATACCTTGAAGAATTTCAGAGGAAGATCTACCCTAATGCCTTAGAAGATAAACTTCAATAAAGATTCTTTTATATCATCTTTAAAATCATTTTGATTTTAAAATCATTTTGATTTTAAAGTTGCTATGAAGAGTGCTAAGGTAACTACTGGTTCAAGAATCAGGTAAATCGTGTTTTGGTGACAGATCTTTTAAAATTTTCTTTTTGATCTTTGGGTCACCTGGCAGTGTTCATGACTAACTCCTGGCTTTGTATTCAGGGGTCACTTGTGGAGGTACATAGTTGACATATGTAGTGCCAGGGAATAACCAGATTTGGTCACATGGAAGACAAGTGCCTTACCCCCTTGTGCTGCCTCTCTAGTTCTCTTTGATAGTTTTGCCCCTGTGACTTTAGGCGAGTCACTTTCTATGTCTTAATTTGCTTATTTGCTAAATGTCAAGGTTGAAGGCTAATGCTGTTCTAATATTTTGATATTTTGCTCTTCTAAATATTTAGTGAAATAAAAGTTCAACATTAAGATATACTTTACTAACAATAAACAAATTACTCCGAAATGAACAAACTGATCACCAAATCTTGTAGATGATAATATGGCATGGCACGCACCACAGCAACCTGATACAAAAAAGAAACAAAAACTGCATATTTTGAGGATGAAAATTCCACAAACCTGCTCATTGCTTAAAATCTAAGATTATTCATTGTACATGCAACTTGCAAGAGAAACACAATATAAATGAGTATGCATAGGAGTCTAAGCCATTACACGCCTTAAAGTATAATATTAAGCCAAGTACTCAAAGAAATTCAGAGTGAAAATGGATTTCTTCCTTTCATCATCGTTCTGAGATATTGTTTTATTTACTTTTCTTAGTGAAGACTTCAGAAAAGATCATTATGAAGATTCCCTCTATGATCTTCCCGTATAGAGAGGAAAGTTTGCTTATCCCCAGCAATCCCCGTATCCCCAGCGTCAAACTGATGTGCACCTTGGACTCATTTGGTTCCCATTGTATAAACCCACACCGAACTTCAAAGTGAAGGAAAACACAAAGTCCCTCTTTTCTAAGGGGCCCAAATCCTTTGTGTCAACTGGTTGACCCTTCGCTCTGGATGGCCTTATTGGAACTCTTTTGTAACACAATGCCTGGGGAGCCCTTCCTTGGGTTGAAGTGTTTGCATAGTAGTGGGCCTGAAAGAGAAAAGCATCTAGAAAGATTATGGTTCCATTTCCTGATCCCAGGGAAATGATAACACCTAAGGACTCTCTTACTCGCTCCACCTCGAGGAGCACTTTGAAAGGTTAAGGGAGTGGAAGAAGATCACAGCATGTAGAGAGGATCTGTCTGAATTGACTAGAATTTGCTTGGGAAATTTCCTCTCCGCACCCAGCAGGGTCTTTGTGGCTTGCGTAATGACTCCCCGTTCCCCATTGGGCAGTTCCCAGGAAAGGCAGTGGGGGATTCTTATACTTTCTCTCTTGGTCCCAGGGGGATGGTGTGTGTGTGTGTGTGTGTGTGTGTGTGTGTGTGTGTGTGTGTGTGTGTGTGTTCTTTTATTCTCTCTTCCCCTCCTCCGGCTTTTGAGGTTGGCAGAAGACGTAAGCCTGACACTTCCCTCCAATGGGCCGGGGAGGCTCAGTGGTTGCGTAAACACGCTAGAACCAAGTTCTTTACTGGTTTAACAGACTTTTCTGTAGCTCGACAAAGGAACTCTGATGGTACTCAATTGTCTGGTGCTGGCCCGCTGCGCCGGAGCCCCGGGGCTCCTTTCCCCAACCCAGAACTGGCTGCGCAGGGGGGCGGGGAAGTGGGGGTGGGGAAGGGGAGGGAAGGCTGGGGTTTCCGTGCGCCCCGCGCGCTCTTACTCGGTGAGTCGCTGAATGGGGAGCGCTTGTGTCCCCAAGCCGATTGGTACTCTTGGCCGGGAAGAGACGCCGCGAGGTGGGAGTGCCTGGAGAGGGAGGCAGGCGGTCCCTGCCTTTCCGCCCCTCTGCCTGCTTTCCCAGCCTGGGCTCTCAGGAGTGGCTGGAGCTGCCGAGCGCTTCGGGAGCTCGTGAATGAACCCTCCTCCTCTTCCTCCTCCTCCTCCTCCACCACCACCACCACCTCCTCCTCCTCCTCCTTCTCCTCCTCCTCCTCCTCCTTGCCGAGTCTCCTCCTCGGTGCTGACGGTACAGTGATATAATGATGATGGGTGTCACAACCCGTATTTGAACTTGCAGGCGAGCTGACCCAAGTCTTTCTGGGGAAGAACTCCAGGCGGGCGGGCGCAACAGCGGCCAACAGTAGGTGCTGGGGACAGACGCTGGGGCCGCGATCTGCATCCAGCCCCGCATCCTCCCGCATCCTCCAGCACTGTCCCGCACCATCCGCGCACCTTCCCCAGGCCACCGCATTTCCTATGTGACCCGCCCCTGCAACGCCGAGTCCCTTCGCGTAGCGCTGCGGTGAATTCTTATCCCTAAACTGCAATAAGCCTCCTTCCAAGGTAATCACGTTTCTTTTGTTTTCGCCTTATAAAAACTTATGGGGAGTGGGGGTGGGGGAGAGCGAGCTTTGTGGGGGAACAGTATATTGCAATTAGCAGAAGGCTTTTGCAGCGGCAGAGAGAAGTAGTTTGTAAAGGCGAAGTTGAGGGGATATATACATTGAAAAAAATGCAGGTAACTTTCAGAAGGACGTTTTAAGAGGAGTAGAGAGGGACCATGGTGCTGAAAAGGATCCAGACAAAAGAAGCTAGGGGTGGGGTAAGGTGGGTAAAGGAGGACAAATGGAATTGGGGGGGGGGGGGGTAGGGGATTGTAAAGAACCCTGGAAAAGTCGTGGTGCCTTGGGGTAGTGAAGAGGGAGGGACCCCAGGCATCTTGAGACTTAATTTTTGTTGTTAACCTGCTAGAGGCAAAAGTTTGAATGGGGACTCAGGAGACTTGCAGACTTAAAAGTCTCCGAAACCTCCCCGGTGCAGGCCACCTGGTTCCTGGCCCGTGGTGTGTGGTCAGTGGCCAGCGTTCCTGGAAAGCTCGGGGGAAGCCCCTGACAGGGTAAGCCGGCGCCCCGGCAGCACGGGACCTGCACGGGCGTGACCCCCCTCTTCCCGCAGCGGTCTGGGAGCAGGAGGTCTGGCTGAGGGTGGCTGCAGAGTACCAAGGCGTGGTTTTTTGTGTCACTTGGGGGCTGTCAAGGTCTTCTTCCCCCGGCGCCCCTGGGTTCTTTTGTCCTGCGCTCGGTGCGCTGGGGCCGACCCGCAGCGAGCAAGGGCTGGGGGTGGGGTTGTTGGAGCGCTGCGGAGGTCTGGGAGGCCCCTGGGCGGGAAAAGCCTGTCCTGAACCAGCTGGCATGTGCGAGAATTTTATCTCACCCCAAGAGCGAAGTGGAGTCTTTCTGTTCGATCTCAGAGAGCGAACCAGAGCCCCGAGCCCTCTCTAGACAAAGGTGGTGAAGGGATTCGAATCCGGGGCCTTTAGAATAGCCCTCCAGACCGGGTGTCTGCACTCCACCTTTCTTTCCCCATTTCCCCACCTCCTCCCCTTTCTCGGTCCGAGTTGAGCAACTTTATTGGCGAGTCTAGAGGCTGCGAAAAGCGTGTTCCGGGAGCCCTTGGGGGACACCCGGGGCTGGAGTGTCCAGCCGCCCTGCGGAGGCGTGGGCGCTGCCTGCGGGCTGGGGGGTTGGGGGGGAGGAGAGGTCCGGGCGGTCCCCGCTAACTTTGTGTCACTAATCGTGGAGCAGTCCGTGTGTGAGGGAGACGAGAGCAGGGCTGGAAACTAGTGTCATCGCCTAAAGTATTCTCCCTCGGGTCCAGCTGCGGCCGCGCAACTCGGGCGAGCTCCTGGGAGATGCTGCGGAGGGAGGAGAAATGTGCAGGGCGCCTGGAGCCACGTCCCGCCGCGTGCTCTCTGCGCCCCTTTTCTCATCTTTGTCTCTCCCTGTCTCCATCTTCTCTGCCTCTCTCCCCCTCGCCCAGACTCTGCTCTGTCTTTATCCTGCGTCCCCTCCCCCACGGCTGACAAATGAATGGTTAGTGTGAAATCCCCGCCGCCTGGGTCCGCCGAGGCGGGCAGGAGAGGGAGGAGCCCACGAGGCGCAGCGCTCCTGGGCTCCGCCCACAGGCTCCGACTGCGGGACCGTGAAGCCCCGACGTCTAGGAAATAGGGCGTTTTTATGGTGGATGTGGGCGCCCTCTGACGGTGAAACTGAGCAGGGAGGAGAGAAAGGAACCCCCCTTCCACAAATCCTGGAAGCGCGATCACAGCCTTAGTGTCTAAGGATCGAGGACTGTAGCTTCCCTTTTCCCGTTAGGTTTGTTTTCCGAATCTGTAACATAAATCTGGGTGTTTGGTGGATCCAGAAAGGATAGGTAGATATAGCTACAGATAGAGAGATCTCTCTCTATTTTTGTGCCGATAGCATAAGTATCTTATCCCAATGGATAACGCACATGATTAGGGTCAATGGGGGTGGGAGGGCCTTGATACTCTAGAGTACGTATCTTAAGAAAAAAAGAATATTATATATTTAAAATATATATTTTACTGTATTTTAATATATATTATACTGTATTTTATATATATACTGTATTATATATGTATACTGTATTTTAATATATATATATTTGCTTTTTTACTTTTGCAAATCTTACTAAGACTTGAAAGCCTTTTGAATTCGATGCCAGGGCTCCGCAGAAGAAGCCCTCTAAAATTTTTTTTTATTTTTTTTTTACAGTTGTAGATTTACAATTTTTTGTGCTTGGGTTTCAATTATACAATGATCAGATACCCATCCCTCCACCAGTGCCCGGTTTTCACCACCATGGATAATATCCCTCCCACCCCCATCCCCCCATCCCCCCCCCCCCCCTCTGTGGCAGGGCAATCCCCTGTGTTCTCTCTCTCCGTTTGGGTGTTGTGGTCTGCAAAAGAGGCATTGAGTGGCAAACATGTTCAGTCCATAGTCTACTTTCGACATGCATCTCCCCCTCCTGGGAGGATCCTCCAAACATCCTTTATTTGGTGCTCCCTTCTCTATCTGAACTGGAAGGCCTCTAAAATTTAAACTTCCCCGGGGCAATCACGTTTCCTTCTACTTAGCACGAAATTTAAACTTCCTCAATTTCACCATACCCCTAGAATGTGGAAATTTGGGAAAAGAGGGCGCCAGGAGGAAAAAGAAGAGAAAGGAAGGTTGCCCGGAGTATGAAAGATACCGGGATGGGGGCAGATGCGAGAAAACACCTTGGAAAAGGGCGGAAGGGGGGATTCCGAGGGTTGGAACTTAATTTCCCTTCTCCTTGTATGCTAGACTTTAAAATCAGCGGTAACGGTCCTCACTGAGGTTCCGTGGCGGGATGCAAACGCAGGGAAGAAACGTGCCCCTGAGAGGGGCCAGGACCATCGGCTAGCCGCCCAGCTTGCAAGGAGGCAGGAAGCGCAGAGGGCTTCCCCGAAACACCAGGGCACTCCAGACGCCGCCACGTGGGCCGCGGCGGCCGCTCCCCGCCCGAGACGGGCGTGACCGTCGGGCCCCGGCACAGCTGCACTGCGGAGCGAGGAGTCTGCGCGTCCCCCGCTGCTGGCCGCGCGCCCCAGGCGGCCCCGCCCAGAGCCCCGGGGGCGTGGCTTGGCGCCACCCTGGGAACCCGAGCGCACCCGCATCGCGGGGACTCCCTCGTGACACGCGAGGGTGAGACGCATGCAGATGACTAGTTCTGGATTCTCGCGAGTAGTGGGAGAGGCAGAGGGCATGTTGCCGTTCTAGAGGGGCAAAGTGAAAATCCACCACGAAAAAAACTGGTTGGCAAACGAAGTGAGCCGAGTTTGTCTTGGACTCCTATTGACTTCTAAAACGTTTAAGTCCATTTAAAGACGATTTATAGTCAGTTGCAGGATAATCACTTTCTAGACGGTCCAGAAGGGCTCTTCGAGGCAGAATAAATGATTGGCATTTGGCAGGGACTGGTCAGAATCCATGGGCTCAGATCATAAAGGACTAGGGACTCAGATCCCTGTGCATCTGGAGATTTGTTTGTTTGTTTGTTTCTTGGCCACACCTGACGCTACTCAGGCTCTTAGTTCAGGGATCACTCCTGGAGGGCTCTGGCATCAGGACCTTTTTTAAAAATAGATTTTTAAATCGAATCACTAGGAGATAGACCTTATAAAGCTGTTTATAATTAGGTTTCAGTCATATAGTGTTCCAACACCCATTCCTCCACAGTGTACATTTGCCTGCACCAGTGTTCCCAGTTTTCGGCCCCCTAGAACATGCCTCTGGTTTTCTTCTCTCTGTCCCTCTGTCTCTGCCTCTATCTCTGTCTCTCTGTCTCTGTCTCTGTCTCTGTCTCTCCCTACTCCCTCTCCTGTCACTCCTTTTGGGCATTGTACTTTGCAATACAGATACTGAAAGGTTATCATGCATATGGCATCATAGTTTTAATACAGCCATATAGTGCAAACTCAGCACACAGTTATTAGATGACAGAGCAGTTGACACATGCGCGTGACACAGACTAGGTAGGAGCCAGCATTTAGAGTATCATTTGTAAACTCCCTTTATTTAGGAAGAATGGAGTTCTAGTAATCTTTTCAATCGCGAGTTCTAATATCTAATTGATTGCGCTTTTTCTTTCTTTTTGGTTTCTTCTAAAAGCTGTGACTTAAATTATTTTAAGTACCGGTTGGCAATTATGTCAAAACTCTCATGAAAAATTCACATAACGTCCTAAAATAGCATGTTGTGTGTTTAATATACAATTAATAAGGCACCAATAGAAGCAACAGCTAGTTTTCTGAAACAGAATTTGTTCCCAGTTTGGGAAGCCTGTAATTTGATAAGAGTATATTACCAAACTGAATCTCTCAGACGCTGACATAAGGCTAAGAGCTGGGAGCTCTTAGGTAAAGAAAGGATTGTTTTACAATTGTATATGCTTGTCTGGACTAATACTGCAAAGAGTTCCAATGGATTCCAGTGTGATTGAGCAATTGCTTCCTCCAGCAGGAAGTCAACAGTCCTTAATCTTTTTGTGGGCGGTGGGAAAAGGGATGAGATTCAAGACAATCACTGTTTAAGATTTATATGAGTTCAAAGTTTTGTTTTTCTTAGGAGATAAAAAAAACTAAAAGTAATTCCTAACTTGTATTTCCTGCTTAAAAAAAAATAAAGTTTGAAAAGAATCCCCTAGATTTACATGTTTACAGAGGTGGGTTTATTCTTTTTCTCTGTGCTTGTAATCTGGAGGAGAATGCCTCTGATAGCCGAGATAACTGTATCTGCACACTTTTAAGTTCTATTTGGAAAGGACCTAGAAAGCTGACTTAAGGGTAGATATGATTACTGCTAAGATATAGTCATTGTTGGCCTTTTCCTTATGTTATTTTGCTTAAGTATTTTGTGGTTAGTAAATGGTCACTAATTGACCCTTAGAACTTTTGAGAGCACAGATATGAACCTGTGTGGTGTCTCTCAGCCTTATTTAAGTATGCTCTCTTT